CCATCACAACACCCCTCTCCTCCTTCATCATCTTCTTCCATAGATCGTAACCTTCGGATGAGACGAGATACTGACTTGCAAGAGCCAATGCCCGCCCCCTGATTTTCGTCCCAGACTTCTTCTTTCCCGCCTTTGCATTCATCGAGGTCGCCGTCGTTGACTCAGACTGTCCACCACTAACATCCTTTGGTTTGTCGGAAGAGGGAGCCGCCGCTGCATCTGGGAAAGCAGTAGAAGATGTGGCAGTTGTGGATGACTTGGCAGCAGACGCCCTCTTGGCAGCAGATGCCGTGACAGCAGCTGATGAGGCAGCAGACGATGACATACCAGCAACTGGCTTGGTAGCAAATGGATTGGCAGCAGATGACGTGGCATAAGATGACGTAGTAGCAAATGGCGTAGTAGCAAATGGCATAGTAGCAAATGGCTTGGTAGCAAATGGACTGCCAGCAGACGACGTAGCAGAAGATGACGTGGCAGCGGAGGACATAGCAGCAAATGGCTTGGCAGCAAATGGTACCCGTAGGGGCATCTCGAAAATTTTCCTGCTGGCTTTTAACGGCCATCCGGTAGGGGCATCCCGCAAATTAGGGACCGGTACCGGTAGGGGCGTAACGAAAAGATTTGAGGCCCAAACGACACCGGGGACTTATGGAAATTTTGAACCCTGCTCAGAGGGGCGCGACAGGGTAAATCGGCCGTTGGAGGGGCGCGACGCGAAATAACGCAAATTACAAGGGCGCCAGACAAATTTTCCCAATTCAATATGATTGTAATTACAATTTTAAATTGAGAATGTTGTGTGTGCAATTGACACGATGGCGGGAAGTCAGTTTTTAGTGAACGGCGAGAGGTACCAACGTGTGCGTGCTTGAGAAGGGGAGTGGCTATGGCAGAAAGCGGGAACCGATCGAGCGGGAGGGGCTGGGCAGCGCCAGCAACAGGCAGAGGGAGGGGGAGAGGGAGAGGCCGGCAACCATGGCAACAGAGCGGGGGGACCGATGGCGCAAGGCAAGAGGCAAGGGGAGGTGAAGCCCCAGCTGTCATAGACCGTCAGCATGAGGGAAGTCGATGGGGGAGGGGCAGAAGAAGTGGTGGCGGCGGGGGTGGCGGGCGCGGATCCGCGCCTGCTTCCGCTGGCGGCGATCCGATCCCACAGGCGGAGTCTTTGAGAGAAGAAGCGGCGACAACGAAGGGTTCTCTCGTCAGCAGATTCTCGTTGTTGGAGCGAGCCGCCGGCTTGTTGAAGGCGGCGGCTGTGGCTGTCGTCCGCCATGGCTCGTCTTCGTCGTCGGATGCGGAAACGTTGTTCGACTACGGCGATGTCTTGTTGGAACAAGCGGAGGCAGCGGTAGCATGCGCGGCGGAGCTGAGCGGGTCTCCCTTCGATCCGGCAAACAAGCTGACGCTAGAGGAAGGAAACGCAAAGGAAAGAAGCGCGAAACTCCATGCGGCGGAGCTCTGCCGCCAATCGCGCGAGGTGTTCGAGACCATCCTCTCTTCCCAAGATCGCCATCTTGCTGCCTTCCGACAAGAGGCAATGGTAAATAACGCCACCGCTCTGTCGTCGTACGCAGCGTTGATGACAGAGATGCAAGAAGAGAGTAACTCTCGGGTCAAATGTGCGGACGACAATACGATCAAGAATGCACGGCAAGGAGGAGGAGGAGGAGGAGGAGGAGGGGGAGGAGGAGGAGGAGGAGGGAGGGAGTCTGACCCTGACAAACTGTACTGTCAGGCTTTGGAGAGATACTCGCTGGCTATGGAAGCGAGCCCGAATGATGCGGAGGTGATGACGAACTTCGCCGACACGGCAGTGAAGTATGCAGAGTACGCAGAGCTAATGAGTCGGCGAGGGTTGGAATCCGGTAGTCGTCAGGGGATCGAAGGGGAAGGGGTTGGTTCGTGTGAAGCGGCGGGTTCCCTCTCTCGAGCGGGCTGGTTGCAGAAGATGGAAGATATGTATGGTCGAGCTATGGCGGCGTACGAGAAGGCCTGGTCTCATGCATCCTCTTCCTCCCACTCCTCCTCCTCCTCCTCCTCCTCGTCGCCGTCGGGAAATAACGGCTGCGATCTCGCGGGTTTGCTCCAAAATTGGGGGATGGGGTTGTCGTCGATGGCTCAGCGTGTTCCCGATCCGACGGTTTCTGATCGACTGTTCAGTCAGGCGGAGGGGAAGTTGATGACTTCCCTTTCCCAGACGACAGATCCTACAGAGAGAATCTCTGTGCACCTGGCTATGGCGGACGTGCTCAATTCCTGGGCGGAGAAGACGATGGAGCTCGATCGGAAGTATATTGCGGAGTCGATGGCTGCCGACGATCGAGCGAATCGCGCGAACATCGTCTTAGATCGACTGGCACGTGTCCTCGACCAAGGGTTGAAGCCCGTGTTGAGTCTGGATCCCGACAACCTGGACGCGTTGTTAGGGTTTGCCGACCTGCGACTGGCTATGGGGAAGACGATCTGCTCTGTCGCGAAAGGCAGAGAGGATCAAAGAGGGGGAGGAGGAGGCGAGGAGGGGGTGGTATTGGCCAGGCAGATATGGGAAGAAAGCTCCCACGCTTATTGTAAAGCAATCAATCTAATTAGGGATCAGATTTGCGATGGGAAATCCAGCGGCCCTGCGAGTAGTCTCAGTTTCAGTGATCAGTGCTCGATTCTATACAACTATGGGTGCTCTTCCGCTTTGGCTGGATCTGCGCCGGATGTGGCAGCGCAGGCGCTTCATTCCCTTCGCGCAGTAGGGGCTCTCTCTCTCGCAGATTTGGTCTCCGATCCCGACTGGCATCGGATAAGAGACCAGGCCTGGTACCACGCGCTCGTGCAACAGTTAAAACACGAAGAGCAAATCAAAAATAGCTGCTCTGGCAGTGACCTGCGCACGAACACACCTACTGACATGATGATCTCTTAGCCCTTACCAAGTTGCGCTGTATTCCCTTCACTCAGGAGGGGTCTCTCTCTCTCTCTCTCTCTCTCTCTCTCTCTCTCTCTCTCTCTCTCTCTCTCTGTCTGTGTGTGTGGCTCGCTCTCTCTCTCTCGCAGATTTGGTTCGGATCCCGATCGGAATTGGATAAGAGACCAGGGGTGGGTACCAAGCGCTGGTGCAGCAGTCAGAGTAGGAAGAGCGAAAGAAAAGCAGTTGCGGAAGTAGTGACCTTTTTACGTATAAGGAAGGAATGCTAACAGTCCTACTGACATGATGACCTCTTAGGCCGTGCTCACAGTTGCAGTGTTTTGAATCCGTTGTCCTGTAATGGCGGTTGTATGCATCCGCGAAAGCCGTAGTGTAACTCTATGGCTTTCTTTGCTGCTGCTAGTGCGTCTCGGTCAAATTGGCCCCTCTTCTGATAGGGTCTTCTCCGTTGAAAGAGCTTGCTTCCACATCCGGCTTTTCTTCGAGGAGCTGTAGGTATTGATTCCTCTTTCAATCCCTCCCTTCTCTTCGGTTCTCTCCTTTCTACGGTCTCTCATGGCATCCGAACTGGTTGTATTAGTCCTGGTCGCGCCGACTAGTACAACCAGTTCGGATGCCATGAGAGACCGTAAAAAGGGGAAAGGTGTAGGTGTGTGTGTGTGTGTGTGTGTGGTAATCAATCAATCGTCATCTGCATAGATTGGATGGTCAAGCGTTCCGCTATCCGTGACGAAAGTGTGACTAACCAAAAAAAAAAAAAAAAAAAAAGTATGACTAAGGTACTTGCTGCATCGTAAAGTGAGTTGAAAAAAAGAAAAGAAAAAAAAAGTGAGTTTTGGTTGGAAATATTTCACGGTGAATTCGCAAAGCGCTGGACGGTGAGACGCGTTGCCGAGGGTCGGGATCAGGTGTGGAAAGATATCTGCGACTGCTTGTGGCCACTGGCCAGACTACTATCGTCTTCATCCGAATAAAACTCCCGTTCATTATTGGTGTTAAAAAGAAAAAAGAAGCGGAATCTGGACTGAAAGTTGCCCCAAATACAAGTATATAATGACCGGGCGTTCTATTCGGATGAGGAGGGTAGTAGCAAGTTTGTATACAGGTGATGACGTCTGATGGGTTGAATCAACGTACAATTTTTTATTTTTTTTATTTTATTTTTATTTTATTTTTCAACGTACAATATTACATCGATGATTCTGTGTTAAGCAATTTCGAGATGCTCTTGATAGTGGTTGCAGTGTACTGAATTTTTACTTAGAGATGAGTGGTAGCAACGCACACAGGGTTTTGCTTCTTCAATTTGATTTGATGTGGAGGATGCGCCTTCAACTTGATGTAGAGGATCTGTCGTTAGCTTTGTAGGATGGTAGTACTGTGCAGTGATGTTTGATCTCTTGTAGCAGATTGGTTTAGAATTAGGGTCTCGAGGGTCTCGTTAGACACTCCTAAAAAAATGCTGATTTTTAGGAATGCAGTGTGGTTGCACGCATTCCTAAGAGTTATAAACGGAATTTGTGAAAGAAAGTGTGAAAACGGAATGGAATTCGTGAAAGAAAATGTGAAAACAGCAAAAATTACCCAAAAAAATGAAGCTCCTCCTGAGGAGCTTTATTTTTTAGGAAGTCGAGTCTATGCGCACAGGGCACTGTTGTCTCCAATTCCGTGGTACAGGCACTGTTGTCTCCAATTCCGTGGTGCAGAAGTCTGTCGGGCAGGGGTCGGACATTGGAGGCCTGCAGTGGTGGGATGAAGGCGACGGTCACCATCGGTAGGCGTTGGGGCCCCGGGGGGGGAGGTAGGGCCGTGAAGCCGACCGGGGACGACAAGCGACTGGTGCCCTGTTTAGCCCTTCAAGCGAAGGGCGGGGGAGGAAGAGGTGTTGCGATCTGCAGGCAGTGGAGGGCTTCCAATGGTCGGAATTCAAAGTAGTGGCTTTTCCCTCTGACGTCTTCTGCGTTTGGCGCCATATCAGCGACCTTCAGTTGCATCTGTCGGCATGTTGGAGTCCCTGTCCTTAAGTGTGTTCGATTCGCTCCCTCCAAAGTGCAGATTCATGGCAGACGTGTATCGGAGGTTGCCTTTCCTGGTACTCGTTGATGTTGTCTTCTTGTTTGTTCTCTTCCTCCACTTGTGCTTGGCGTTCCGGCCGACGAAGCAACACAGCAAGCGACGTGCATTTAGGAAAGCGACCTCCGCTGAACGGCCAATGGCGAACGCAACACAGCAAGCGACGTGCATCTAGGAAAGCGAACTCCGCTTAACGGCCAATGGCAAACTTCAACGTCGGCAGACAAGTGGCGACCGCGAGTGGGGTGGTCCCTCACCGCCGGTATGAACTTTCCTTGTACAACCATCTGCCTCCGCACGAGCAGCCTCTACCCCTGACGGACGACGAAGAGGAAGTGGAGGACCTGGCAAGGCTACCTTTGGGTAGTGGGTCGACACAGATGTGGTCCCAGGACACAGATGTTGTCCACACTGCCCGGGTATTCCTCAAGTCCAAATAGACAACCACCTGTGCTTGGACTGAGAACTTCAATTTGCAGTCGTAGTAGTTCTCTGGCGGCACGCCGGCAGGCTTGTCGATGTAGATGTGAGACATTGTGAGCGCAGTCGATTGCATCGTAGCAGTTCGGGAAAAAAAGCGTGCATAATCTGCTCACGCCTCCTCCCCGTCGGCCACTTGATTGTGTTTGGGTACGCCTTCAACAACGCCGAAGTGATGTCGTGGATGGGAAGCAGACCAGTTTCCCTGCCGATGTCGAAGGATGACGTGCTGCTCTCGTAAGTCTCCCCAGATGCTCACCTGTACAATGCGAACTCTATCACCTGCTCCACAGGCAACGGCAACGTGTAATGTGTGACCTTCTCCACATACGTGGCGCATGCGGTGACGATCTGCATGAAGACTGGCCTCGACAATATACAACTTCTTGCGGAAATACCCATCAGTTGCATCGTCACAGACGAGAAGATCCGCTCACGTTCCACCGGTCCTTCACTTTGTCCACCATCGAGACGTCTGGCGGGGGAAGACGCCGGCGGAGAGTGCTGAAAACAGCTGCACGAGAGCTTTTGACATGGCCATGCAATCCGGAGCGTCAACCACATGCTGCAGCAACGCTCTATGTTTCCGCAACTGCAGACTCATTTCACGTTGGGTGGACGACCTGCCCCTCGTCGTTTCCAGAGCCACGGTCGTCACCGCCAACGCCACCGCCTCCCACTCTTCAGTAGACAGCACATGGCTGCTGGTGTGAACATCCACCTCCATCGTTGACATTCTGCTCGTGAGACTCCTCCACACTCCCCCTGTGTTTGCTGCCCCTAAAGACTTCACACGCCGGGCAAAAGACAGCTCCCTATGTGTTGTGCACCGCTGTGCCATCTTTTGTACATCATCCACAGTGGCTGGCCGTCCTCCTGCCCGCCTGCGCACGTCCGCAAAATTGGAATTCGATTTTCAAATGCCTGCCTCCGTGCGCTTTTTTTCCTCCACTTCATGAACCGGTCAGGGCCCACCACCCTGTGTACCACGGACATGAGACTGCAATGGGCGGACATCCTCGACGCGGCTCCGTATACGTATATGAGAATAGCCCGCGGGAGACCCTTTAGGACTGTTCCTAAAAGCTTTTCTTTAGGAATGCGTGTAACCACACCGCCACGATTCCTAAAAATCTTTTAGGAACTAGGCTGTTTTCCCGGGCGCCCGGGCATAATTCCTCACAGAATCGGAGATAAAAAAGAAAATAACAGAATCACACAAAGGCACCCCCCTTTAGACCCCTTTAGCCCCTCTAAAACCAATTTATACCCCCCTCCCCCCCCCTTGACAGCCAACTCGCAAAAAACAAAATGAGCCCGGATTTGGAGTCCTCTCGGAGAGCGCAGAAGACCAAAAAAAAAAAACAATTGCACGCCGGGGTACCCCGGGCGTCATACCCCCCCGGGCGTCTCGCCCGGGTGCCTGGCCGGGCAGGTAGGCCGCGCGTGAGAATCTTCCTAGTTTCGGAATCCTTTAGGAGTGTCTAACGAGCTCCTTAGCCTAGACGAGTTGTACGCAGGGACAGAGTCATGTTCTTGTATTTGTTTTTTTGATATTGATATTTTAGAATAGATTTGCGCATGGTAGCCGGCACAATGTTTGTTTTTATCGCATATTGCTGTCCTTGAAAATTGTTCCGATGTAATTTTTTTTGGGGTTCCGCTTGTAAATCTTTCTTACTTGGTTAATTTGCTTGAACGACGATAGGGTACTTGCAGATGATGGATTGTACAGGGAAGGCTGAGGTGTGTACCTTACTTTTCTGGGTTGCCGAGGGCCTTTTAGCGGTGTAACCCTCGTCGGTCGGTACCTGAGTCCAATTCGGATGCTATGTACCAGTGGTCGTGCATATGATGTCGGTAGTTTTGTCGGGTGTGGCACTGCTTGATCTGCATCCAGATGGAATCAAACCGTCGACCCAAATGATCACCGCCCACCTTTTGCATTCCCTTTTGTGCACTATGGTGAAACTCTGACGAAACAGTTTGTCACAGCGAGTTGTCACAGCCCCTCGTTTGCTGTCCTCTTCTCCCTCCCTCTCTGCCTATGGTTTACCAGGCAGCTGTGTTTGACTATATATTTGAACACCGCTGAAGTTTCCAGGCATCTTTTTTTTTTTTTTTTTTTTAAGCTGTCTTCTCCTCATTGGGGGACAGCTATATCTCAAACAGAACTGCCCGGTAAACCGTAGGCAGAGAGAGAGAAGAGGACAACAAACGAGGGGCTGTGACAAACTGTTTCGTCGGAGTTTCACCGACTCATCAGGAGGCT